ACTCTTATTGATAGGTACTAGGTTTATACACGCGCTACGCTGCGGGTTATTTCTTAATTATATTTTTATTAATTTAATGCTATATTTTGATAAAATAAAAATATATTAAAATAAATATTATATGCATATTTTAAAAAATATGCAAATCTATATATGAAAATATGTTTTAGTTATATTTTATATCATAGTCACTGTTTATCTAATTTTTATCAAAGATGGATGTAAAGCAACTCATACGGTGGAACGTGTTTATGTGCAATTCTTCAACTTTAGTAATTACTGCACCTATTCGATTCTTTTCCTACCAAGAGCATAATTCACGGTATTAACTTTACTATCTTAAACTGACATCCCTCTAAAACTAATATAAAAATTCACTAAATGACATCCTATTCAATTTTATCATAGTTTCATATTTTCTAACTTAAAAAATGATCACTCATCCATCTAGTTGTTTTTCTCCAAAACATGTTTAAAGTATTTAATGATCTAAAATTTATTAATTAGAGACGTTGTGAACATGTAGACATAGAAATATTATTTAGAATAATGTTTCTAACTTTAAAGTTTTGAAGCTTAATAGTAAAATTATCTTAATATTAATTTTTGCCATATTATTTAAATTTTTGTGTAAATATGAGTTTTCTTATAAAAATATTTGTATTAGATGTTTTGCTGTGAATACCCTCGTTATTAAAGGCAAATAAGAACAGGAGATAATTATTAATACACTACTAAACACTTCTCTTTAAACGCAAATGTATTGATATTTAGTTTTCTTTAAAAAATTATTAATAATTGGAAATACACATTCAAGCCGTTGGTTTAAGTTTTAATCCAGCATGTTTATTCCGTTTCAGATTTGCGAATGGCAGAATATTCGGGAGCACGAAAGAATGCCACAGGCTGCCGCAATCCGCCACGAGAGCCGCATGCTCGTCCGAGTCAACACTCTCCTCCAAAGATTCTCTGGCATCTGATTCGCAATCCTCGAAGCAATCACCAGTCTCCTCAATCACAACATCACTCCTTCTCTCCCCCTCCGGCGATCTCGTTCCTCTCTCCTACATCGCTGGCCTCCTCACCGGCCGTCCCAAATCCAAATCCACTGGTCCCAACGGTGAATCTCTAACGGCGGAAGAAACCTTTAAGAAAGCTGGAATCAATTCTGGATTCTTCGATCTGCAGCCCAAGGAAGGGTTATCACTCATCACCGGCACGGAGGTTGGATCTGGAATGGCTTCGATGGTTCTATTCGAAGCGAATGTTCAATCGGTTTTGGCGGAGGTTTTATCAGCGATTTTCGCGGAAGTTATGAGCGGGAAACCTGAGTTCACCGATCATTTGACTCACAGATTGAAGCACCACCCAGGGTAAATCGAATCGGCGGCGATAATGGAGCATATCCTCGAGGGAAGCTCTTACATAAAATTGGCTCAGAAGCTTCACGAGATGGATCCATTGCATAAGCCGAAACAAGATCGTTACGCTCTCCGTACTTATCCACAATGGCTCGGCCCTTCGAAGTAATCCGTCAGACGACAAAATCGATCGAGGGTGAAATCAACTCCGTGAACGATAATCCGTTGATCAACGTCTTCCGGAACAAGGTAATTCACGGCGGAAACTTCCAGGGGACTCCAATCGGAGTTTCGATGGACAACACGCGTCCCGCCATCGCAGCGATTGGGAAGCTCATGTTCGGTTCGCTCAATTCTCGGAGCTTGTTAACGATTTCTACAACAATGGCCTTCCTTCGAATCTAACAGCTTCAAACAACCCAAGCTTGGATTACGGATTTAAAGGAGCAGAGATCGCCATGGCTTCTTACTGCTCGGAGCTTCAATACTTAGTGAATCCAGTCACAAGCCATGTTCAATCAGCTGAAAAACACAACCAAAACGTGAACTCTCTCGGACTAATCTTGTCTCGTAAAACCTCTGAAGCCCTCGAGATTCTCAAGCAAATGTCCACGACGTTACTCGTGGCGATATGCCAAGCGGTGGATCTAAGACATTTGGAAGATCTCTAATCAAAAAGCTAATGTCTTTAGCTGTGGGCACTTCGGTTTTTGTTTGGTTTCGATTCGGTTTCTTCGGTTTTACGGTTTATCGGTTTTACGAAAATTCAAACCATATAAAAGTCATATATATTTTGGTTTGGTATGATTTTATTTTTTACTGTTTGGTTTAATATGGTTTGGTTTCGATTTTTTAGAATTATACTTTTACGAAATTTTTTGATTCAAATTAACAAAAATAATAATAATAGATATGAGTGAAATTAAACAATAAGTTCAAAAAATAGAATTTAAATCATAAACTTCATCAATAATGACATATTTCAAAATAGAGAAACTAATAAATGATCAAATCTTTTATAATCAATAATTATAAAATAATAAACAAATCTAGATTAAATTTAATACTTATAACTTTGGAACTAGAACTAGAATACTTGAATGTGAAGAAAATAAGTAAATCACATATTTTTTATTGAAAAATTGAGGTTTACTTTATTATTTATATGTAGATATTTTTTATAAATATTATATTTTAAATTTATGAGTTAGTAAATTATAAAAATAACTAAGCTCAATAATAAAATATCTACCTAAACTAAATTAAGAAACTAGGAAAATATAAATTATTTAAAATTTTGTTTAAAAACCGAAAAACCTTTTGGTTTGACGGTTTTTAACCAAATCAAATCTAACCAATGCTATGAAAAAATGATGGCCAAATGGATTTTTAGGTTTAACCATAACCAAACCATATCACTTTTTCGGTTTGGTATGGTTTGGTTTTTTCGGTTATGGTTTTTGTGCCCACCTCTAAATGTCTTAATCAAAGCTGATGTCTAAAAATAAAAGCTGATCTGTATTAAATCAAATGTTTTGATTGGTTTATTGATTTTGCTGATGTGTCAGTTTCTGGTAACTTGAAGCTGAGGTGTCAAGCCATGGAGAAACTTTAGTGTTATTGTTGTGTTAATTAGATTTCAGAGATTAGTGAGTATGAAAATCAGATCTCTCCATGTGGCATTTGCCAACGAATATCATTAATTTAAACTAAACTAGTCAAACATTAACATGTGTTTTAACATGTTTCAGAAAATAAAAAAATCCTATACTAAAAAATATGTTCTAATAAATACTACTTTCTAAAGTTAATGTATATCATTTCCTAAAAAAAAAATTTATTTTACAACAACTCAAATTTTGTACCAAAATAGAAAACTAATTTCAATGATGAATATTAGATTTTACTGATTAACAAATTTAAAATTCTGAATTAAAATTTGTATACCAACAATTAGTATTATTGTAAATTACAATTTTTTCTAAGTAAACAAGTTTTTAATATGTTTTCAGAAAAACTATCCTACCAAAATGTTCTAAGAAATAAATTATTTTTCAAAACAATGCAAATCCTCTACATATAAATTAAGAATGTAGTTTAATGAAAACTTATGATTTGTTTTAATTTAATTAGTTAAAATTATCTATCTAACCTAATTAAATGTGATATAAAAATAATGATGTGTAATGATCATGTAATTATGACATGACATTTGCTAACACATGTGAATTTTGACATGGCAAAATAATTTTTTGCATTTAATTTCTTTTAGTTCAAATAATTGTCATATTTCTATTAAAGAAAATAATGATATCATATTTTATTGTTATAAATTGTAAACCTTATTTAAGTGCATCATTATATATTGATCTCATGCATAGATGTGTTCAAAAACATATATTATATTTTTTAAGAGCAGCATAAATTGAACACATCTTCAAAAATATTATATCTTGATTACATGCACATATGTGTTCAAAAACAAAAACACTATGCATAAATGTGTTCTAGATGTGTTCAAAAACATATGTTATATTTTTTTATCACATGAACATGTTCACGTCAAATTTTATAAAAATTATATCTTGATCACATGCACAAATCATATATATTATAGTAATACGTTTTTATAAAATATATATTAGAATATATTTTGATCTCCTAAAATATATATTTTCATTCAATACCTCTTTCAACATAATTAACAAACAACATATTCCTTCAATCGGATTTTCACAGAAGTTTTTTTTAAATTATATTTATAAGTAAGTTTTTTAACGGAATATTTACAGTTTCACTTATTTGGCGGAAAATTCATGAAATCAAAATTTTGACTGATCGTGTTTGGAATCACATATTTAATGTAATATTTAAAGAAAATGTTTTTTTTATGGATTCATTTTTTGACAGGAAATTAACAAAATTTAAATTTTGATAAAATGTTTTTGGATCATATTTTTGATGTAATTTCTTAGGTGTGAGAGTTACTTATTCATAGTTTTGACAGAAAATTTGTGAAATGAGTTTTTTGATGAAAATTTTTTGGAATCTTATTTTAAATAAATTTTTGATGAAATATTCACAAGTACAAGTGTTTGTGTGAAATTTGTGGCATCAAATATTTAGAAGGAGAATTTTTTCACTTTTATTATCATCTAATTTTGTCTTATTATAAATAAAGAACAAAAGTTTATATTATAGGTATGTACTCCAATTATATAGCAAAAATTTACTAACCAGAAATAGGACGAAAAATGACAAAATGAGATGAAAAACTATAAAAAAAATGAATAAATATGAATAAAAAAATAAAAATGAAGAATAAAGAAGAATCATAATATTTGATTTTATGTTTTTCTAAAGTATTTTAAGTTTTGTATATATTTTATTTTTTGCTATATATGATTTCTCAAACCTATTAAAATATTTTTTCACAGACTAAAATATTTTACAAATATATTATTAAACAGATCAATTATTTATTTATTATAAATAATTATTATTATTCTTAGTTAATTTTTATCAAAATTTTTATCTCGGCAGATATGTACAGGCTAACCATCTGGTTTGCCAACTAAAAACGAATCTGTAATATTCAAATACTATTAAATACCAAACAATGTAACATTTATCTTTATTGAAAAAACAATGTAACATTTTTATTTATAATAAATATATACTATTCGTATAGTATATTATGACCGTTATGACTGTACCAAGAGAATTGATGCTCTACATTATGACTGTATCTATTTCGAATTAATAAAAGTAGATACGTTGAAAAAGAAAAAAGAAAAAAACGAATCCTGCTCGTTTCACGCCGCCTTGTTTCTGTAGGATACACCCACTACCGTCTTCTCTTTCTTCTTCCTTCCCGAGGCCAATCTGTACAACAACTTACTATCTCTCTCATCCAAATATCGAAACGACATCGTTTCCAGGTTACTCCACAGTCACATCCATGTCCAGGGAAGGAGACACCACCCTCAAGTCTATCTGCTACAAGCCTGGCTCTCTCCGATTAATTGGTCAGGTTCCTCTAAAAACCCTTACCCTTTTACCATTTTTGAGAAACTTCACAAATCAACGCTTCTTCTAATCTAAAATTTTATCTGAAATTCGGAGCAGAGGAAGCTTCCTTTGGAGACCACTTACTTAGAGATCCGTGATACTACAGATGGATGGTAAAAATCATAGCTTTTGATCGATTAGATTCTTCCTTAAATGTATTAATAGTTTCGATGTTCCATTAGGAGTGCAATTCAGGAAATGGTGGTGCGTGGTGCTCCTGCTATAGCCATTGCTGCAGCTCTTTCTTTAGCTGTTGAAGTTTTCAACTTTAATGGTTTTGATGGATCATCTGAAGATGCTGTTGCTTTTCTGGAGAAGAAGTTAGATTATTTAGTGTCAAGGTACTAACTTCGGATGGATTATTAGATAAATTTTGCATCTTGGTGGTGCTTGTAAATCTAAAGTTCTTTTCTTTTTATACGTTTTCTCTACAGCCGACCAACAGCAGTTAATCTTGGAGATGCTGCATTGAAACTTAAACAGGTTATAGCAAAGGCCTTGGCTACTACTACCAATGAGCCCAAGTCCATTTTTAAGGTAATAAGACATTTCTTAAGAGCCAAGGGTTTTGTTTTGTCTTTCGGATACTCGATTTGGACCTAGGAACGATGGCGTCGTCTTTGAATGTACTTTTATTTGGGTCTGGACTAAGGAACGATATAGCTCAAGGGACTCGAATTGGACTTAGGAATGATAGCTTCGTCTTTGAATGTACTTTTTTTTTGGCTTTGGACTGAGAAATGATATAGCTTAGGGAACTCGATTTGGACTTAGTACAGATAGCTTCGTCTTTGAATATACTTTGTTCGGCTGCGGACCAAGGAATGGTAGCTTAGAGAACTCGATTTGGACTTACGAATGTGATACGATTAGCAGATTAATGGTTTTGGGTTTTGATGGTTTTCCTTTTAACTATTGGTTTTGGTGTTTTTCCCTTTTACATTAGCTTTGGATGTTTTCCTTTTGGCATTAGGTTTTATGATTTAGAGTTGTCGTGGCCTATATAATAGTTTTTCATGATTAATAAGAAGGAACTTCCAAGCATTAACCTTAATCTCCAAGAGAGTTTAGGGTTAAAAAGGAAGCTTAGCTAAATCTTTCAGTAAACACGGCTCCTAGTAAGAAGAAGTTACCGGCTTACTGATCGAGTTACTGATCGAGTTATAGATCAGGGTTCGTATCAATTTGGTATCAGAGCTCAACGATCCAATGACGGACATGACCACGATCGCGACTCAACTTGCTCTCATCATGGAGCGCTTAGAGGGTTTGTATGAAATCAAGGTACAAATCCTTACGGACAGAACCCAAACTCTGGAAGCAATCACTTCAGCTCAAGGCACAGACTCATGACTTCAAAAGGGCAAAGCTGCAGCGATTAATTTGCAACAGGGACCGGTAGTTAAATTCTCCACCGAAGAGCTATCCGAAGTTGAGGATTTAAATGCAACCAAGGGAAGCAGAGAAAGTACCTTGCCAGTAGCGCCAAAAGCAGGAACTTCAGCAAAAATTATTAAACATGTACCGGCCTTGGGTGGAGGGTTGATGAGAGATGAGCACAAAATAGCTTTCTCTGATGGACCATGGCCCACAAGAGCCGTAGGAAGAGAGCGAGACCAGCGACACACTGATGGTGGAGGGGAATGGCATGTGCGGCCAATAGGAGCAATACTTGACGAGAATCCAATGAGTTACGCTCAAGGTGATTTTCGAGTTCAGGAAGAACGAACTTGGAAGGGTGATTGTGAGGTTCATGATGACAGAGGCTATAGCCATGTACGGCGTGTTGTTCCGGCAGCAAAGATGGAGTTTCCACCTTATGATGGGACAACAAACGCTGTTGAATGGCTGCAGAAGTGTGATGACTATTTTGCGGATCAGAGGGTCTTCAATGATGATGCCAAAATTAGACATGCAACATTCGTCTTAACAGAGCAAGCATATCATTGGAATAATAATCTCCGAGGTTTAGTCACTCATAAGTTAAGTTGGACTGAATTCAAAAGAATTTGCAAAAGCCGTTTTGGTAAAGCAGATTTAGTCAATCCAGTGGGAGAGTTTTCAAATTTGAGACATACAGGAATCGGTAGATGAATACTGCAACCAGTTTGAAGAGTGTCTTGGCCGGCAAACAAGACTTACTGGGGAGTGACGGACAGTTTGCGAAAAGAAGTAATACAATATTTGGAGCCATGGAGTATACTAAAGACAATGAATACAAGATCGAAGGGGACACTAGAATACGCACGTTTGGAGGACATAGGGCTCCACTAGCTAGACAGTTAGTCCAAATGTCAGGGGATAAAGAAGCTTTGCTGTCGCTACAAGAAGAAGCAAAACAAGCTCCACAAAAGCAATACTGGAAGAAGTTGACTAGGGCAGAAATGGCAGAGCGACGAGTAAAAAGACTTTGTTTCAATTGACTTTTCACGAGATGTTTGTAACCCAATGCTTTTCCATATAAAGATTGTCATGGAAGGAGATGATCAAGAGGATGAACCGATAGAAGAAGAGGACCTTCCAAGGAGCTTGAGCTCCTAGTCGACGAGGGGAGTAATGATACGATTAGCAGATTAATGGTTTTGGGTTTTGATGGTTTTCTTTTTAACTATTGGTTTTGGTGTATTTCTGTTTTACATTAGCTTTGGGTGTTTTCCTTTTAGCATTAGGTTTTATGATTTAGAGTTGTCGTGGCCTATATAATAGTTTTTCATGATTAATAAGAAGGAACTTCCAAGCATTAACCTTAATCTCCAAGAGAGTTTAGGGTTAAAGGAAGCTTAGCTAAATCTTTCAGTAAACAAGGCTCCTTGGAAGAAGAAGTTACCGGCTCCTACTGATCGAGTTACAAGATCTCAAGTTATAGATCAGGCTCGTATCAGAATGATAGCTTTGTCTTTGAATGTACTTTATTCGGCTTTGGACTAAAGAATGATAGCTGAGAGAACATGGTTTGGACTTAGGAACGATAGTTTTGTCTTTGAATGTTCTTTTCTCTGTAATGATTCTTTTTTCTGTATCATTTTATCTGCACAAAGCTGAGCCTTTCTCTTTTGTAAGTCCTCTTCATTTTCTGTCATTCCTCAGGCATATATTGAAGCTGCTGAGAATATGCTCGAAGATGATGTCGCTTCAAATAAAGCAATAGGAACGTTTGGTTCAAGCTTATTGAGGCAGCAAGCTAAAAATCCTGACAAGCTTTCTGTTCTGACCCATTGCAACACTGGCAGGTATCTGTTTATGCAGAAAAACAAAATTTTCTGTGGATTTAAAGGGACAGTTACTGTTTTACCTAAACAAAAGCTAGGGAGAGCTTCCATATCTCAATGTGCTTCGTAATGTGGTTGTTTGAACGAATGATCTACTTATAGTATACAAAAATCAGTAACCATATATTTTTATTGCAAAAAAATCACTGAAGCTTAGTAATAGCATGCTACTTCATATATACCATATACGCCTTCAAATCAACCAAATGGAGTTGTGTAATATGTTTATGTACAAGTAAGGAAGTTTCTGAAATTCCCTTTTCTATGTAGCCTTGCTACTGCTGGATATGGTACTGCCCTCGGTGTTATCCGTGCACTCCACACTCAAGGAGTCTTAGAAAGAGCATACTGCACAGAAACTCGTCCGTTCAATCAAGTAAAACTCCTCAACTAATGTTTTTTCTTCTTCTTTTTTGAAAACGATAAGTTGTTTGGGACGATAGTTACCTGTAGTTTGACATTTGGATCCATTGCTTAAGATATTTTTCATATATCTGTTGAACTGTTGTTGAAAGTCTTTTGAATAATTAAGAATGCGACAATTGACAGGGATCGAGACTTACAGCGTTTGAGTTGGTGCATGAAAAAATCCTGCAACTCTCATTGCAGATTCAGCTGCAGCTGCACTGATGAAAGATGGTCGTGTAGATGGTGTCATCGTTGGAGCAGACCGCGTAGCTTTAAATGGTGAACTCAAAATAATCTGTTTTTCTCCATAAATCTGTTGCGTTTATGAATCACTTGCTCAAAATCCAATTCATTCATATCCATTTCCAGGTGATACTGCTAACAAGATTGGGACTTACAGTCTCGCCCTTTGCGCAAAACATCACAAGATCCCGTTTTATGTTGCTGCACCTCTTACCTCGGTTGATCTTTCACTTTCGTCCGGGAAAGAGATCGTTATAGAGGAAAGATCGCCAAAGGAGCTTCTGAACACACATGGAGGACTTGGTGAACGCATAGCAGCACCAGGGATCTCTGTTTGGAACCCGGCTTTTGATGTGACTCCAGCTGAGCTAATTGCAGGAATCATAACCGAGAAGGTTCGTTTCTTCAAGCTTTACTTGACCAGGTTATTATTATCGGGTTTAGATAAACCGGAAGATTTGTATGCTCACTTTATCTCAATTTTCACAACGTGTATGTTATATGTGCAGGGAGTGATAACAAAGAATGGTAATGATGCATTTGACATAAGCAGCTTTGCTCAAAAGTAGTCAGCATTGCGATTTGCAGATATTTTTTCTCCTCTCTATAACTTGCAATAAAGCAACATTACGTTGTAACACAAACAATGAGCGTTGTAATGTTTTACCATTACAAACAGTGAGTTATGTAATGGTAAAGATTGTCGGTAGCTTAATTGAAAATAAAGAGCAAAGAACTATTGTACAAGCAATTATCTGTTTGACTAAATAGAAACACAATAATAATCGACTAATAATCTTCAACATTACTACAACTAGAGCTTGTTGCCTCGCTTCCTCTTCTTCCTTTTCCTTTTCTTCTTTTTCTTTGTCAGCCCGAGTTATTGGTTTGTTCTATGCTACTCTTTGAAAAAAAGTAATTTCATATGCCATTATGTAATAAATCATTTCTTTTTTATTTTTATTTTTAAATTTAAAACTTAAGAAAATAATTTTATGTCCTTAACTGATTTTGTTATTTACCAACCCAGACCTAAACCTAACAATCTGTAAATTTCTTTTTCTATTTTTTTTCTTCAATTTTCCAAAATTATTTTTCACCGACGATTACCTTCGATTTATTTTGATTCCGATCACACATTTTCAAAAATCTCTTCGTTTTGTGGCCGTTAAGGATCATTTTCGTTTATCTATGTCTATATTATCTCCCTCTTGGCAATCCACTTTGTCTCTCTTTCCCTTTGAGCCTCTTTCCAAAATCTTTTCCTCTTTCTCCTTGTCGTCTTATACTCTTCGTAGTTGTCAGATTAAGTTGTGTGGTTGATTTCTTAGCCAATGCAAAGCTAAGACTTGACTCATGCAATCCGAGCAACAGAAACAAAGATGTGAAGATCAGCTTTGATTCACTTGACTCGCTCCCAATCTCGGCGTCTTTCTTCCTCGACCTTCAGTTCTTTTAGTAAGATTTGTGATTCTGGAGAAAAGCTCTATAATGGTTTTGGAGAGTCTGTTGAGCTCCATATATCTGATATCTAGAAAATTTAAGATCCGGCTATTATTGTTCTTCGGCTGTTTTAATTATGAGAGGCCATGTGCAATAGCTTCATAACCCTCAGAGTTTAAAATCGTGGCATTAGCTGTGCTTGTGGGAAACTTATAGGTGAAATGGTTTCAGTAGCAGAACATTCAGTATTATAATTTCGGTTGCAGCAGCTTATAGATAGGAAGAAAGTTCGGTTGTGGTTTTATGCTTCCTTTTCTTCTTGGAAGGTTCACTTTGAACGTTTTCTCTGTCTATTAAGGATCATATAGAGTTATCTGGATTTAAGAACTTGATAGATTATAGGACTGTTTGAGTTATTTAACATGCCAGATTTTCAGTCTACTATTTAGCACAACTAGTGCTTGCTTGAATTATCTGTTAACTTATTACTGCTATCAAGACAGAATATTTCACCAGTTTTATTGAATTAGGCAAAATAAATTCTTAAAATTTTTATCAATTTGTTTGCTTGCAGAAATGGGACAGTTTGATGCTATCAAATTTTGCACTAGTACAGCAACTGTATACGCAAGGGAAGAGCTAAATCATGCTTTGTATCAGGTAATTATGATTATGTGCATGTGCCTTCACATGTATATGACTTACATGCATTTATTACGTAGTCCACTTTCTTTTCCTGGGTGTTTTCATTAATTATTAGCAATAGAGGTGATTATTGGATTTTTTGGGGGTTACAGTTTTCGTTCTACTTGCAGCATGATCCTGCTTGTCATGTGATTGCTAGCTAATATATTCAAAAGTAAAAAAATATCTGTCAGTTTCATTGGGTGGAACAAGCTCGATCCAAGTTACATGGACAATGCTAAAAGTCGTGGTGCTCAACATTCATTTTGCTAGTCTTCCAATTGTGAAGCTTTAACAACATCAAGCTATGGAACTTTTGATCCCAATTTTCGTGAGAACTATGAAAAATATAATATTTTTGAGGTACAACTGAAATACATGGCTCGATTGAGTTCAACTGAGTTTTATTAAGTTCAACTGGATTTTATTAAGTACAACGGATGACAGAAGTAATGAGGTACAACTGAAATACATGGTTCGACTGAGTGAGTTTAATGGTTCAACTAGGTTTTATTAAGTTCAACTGGATTTTATTAAGTACAACGAATGACACAAGTAACAAGGTATAACTGAAATATATGGTTCGACTGAGTGAGAATTATGGTTCAACTTGGTTTTATTAGGTTCAACTGGGTTTTATTAAGTATAAGGAATGACACAAGTAACGAGGTACAACTGAAATACAAGGTTCGATTAGCTGAGTTTTACCGTTCAACTGGGTTTTATTAAGTTTAACTGGATTTTATTATGTACAACGAATGACACAAGTAACGAGGTACAATTGAAATACAATGTTCGATTGTCTGAGTTTTACGGTTCAACTGGATTTTTAAGTTCAACTGGATTTTATTAAGTATAACGAATGACACAAGTAACGAGATATAACTGAAATACATGGTTCGACTGAGTAAGCTTTACGGTTCAATTGGGTTTTACAATGAATGACACAAGTAACGAGGTACAACTGAAATACAAGGTTCGACTGGGTGAGTTTTACGGTTCAACTGGGTTTTATTAAGTTCAACTGGAATTTATAAATACAACGAATGACACAAGTATCGAGGTACAACTGAAATACAAGGTTCGACTGAGTAAGTTTTTAGTTGTACTAAATAGTTTCAAACAATTTAAAATATTTTAAAAAAAAATCTGTCGCGAAAAAATGAATATGTGTTTTTGGCATAGCTGTACCCAAGTTAATATTGAACAAAAATATTAACATAGTTGTACCCAAGTTAATAGTTGAACAAAAATCTTAATAGTTGTACTTTTACGATTTTAAGGTATTTCTAGTTGAACCATTGTAAAAATTATTCTAGTGTAGTTGTACAAATGATTTTAGTCTTTTAATTATCATTTACAACATTTTCGTAGAAACATATATATATATATATATATATAATCTAATAATTTGCTTTTTTGCATCATAAGAGGGTAACATTACACAAATCTTCCTTATATTGTAAGATGTACTTGATGTGAAAACAGATATATATATTTTAAAACTGATAAATCAATGTTATCCATATTATTAATTACTTCTTTATAGTTGAATATGTGTTTAGACTTCTTAGTTGGTTTACTTTTTATGGTTTTTTATAATTGTTTAATTTATTAAATTTTTTATATAAATTGAAGCATAGTTGAACGACATGAACATAGTTGGACCAACGAAACTGACAAATACAAACCCATAATTATTACCTAATTTAGATGTTATGTATTCATTACATATTGTATAAAATACAGATTGAGTTAATAACTTTTTGTGCTTTTTTGTATGAAATAGATATTAGGTATAACTATTATGAACAACAAAGTTTTAAAATGAATTAAAATAAATTGCAATAAAAAAACATGCATTAAAAAAAAAATGACGACGGAAACATTAAAAAAATTATTAAATTATCAGGAATTATACACTTAAATGTCACCAACTAAGAGTTGAACAAAATTTCTAATAGTTGTATTTTTGCGATTTTACAATATTTCTATTTGAACTTTTCTATACAACTATGTGATGTAGTTGTACAACCAATTTTGAGTCTTAAAACCTCATTTACAACATTTTTATAGTATAATTTGTGTATAATCTAATATTTTGCTTATTTTGAGTCTAGTATGGTTGACATTACCTATGTCTTTCTTATATTGTAAGAAGTGGTTGATGTGTGAACATCATTTTGCTTATTATTTCCATAATTTTTGTTTAGTTTTAAATTTTATAATTGTTAATTTTTTATAGCATTCTATAATTGTTAGTCATTTCATACTTGTTATTTTTTTCATAATTATTGAACAAAAGTATATATAGTTGTACTTTAGCGATTTTAAGATGTTTGTAGTCGAGTCTTCCCTTAAATTATTATGGTGTAGTCTTACAATATATTATGGATAATTAATTATCATGTACAACATTTTCGTAATACAGTATATACTAAATTGATGCGAATTACACATATGCAACTATATATACAATACAAACGCAGAAATGTTCATAAGTGTATCCAGTTGAAGGAGAAACAAACAAGAGAAACAAAGGACAAATATAAGTTAAACATCACGACCCACAACACTCGTCACTAACTCCTTCAGCTTTGCAATCTCTTCAGCATTTTTTTAGCTCATAACGCATTTGTTTGTTTTGAACTTCATGGTCAGCAACCTTATCCTTTAATCTAGAAATTTCATCTTCGATAGCCTGAACCCATCTTTGCCTAATGTGGTAAGCATCATTCTATAGATAAAGAAATATATAGGATAAAAAAACCAGTAAATTAAAACAATCATTCGAAACAAAAAAGGAACTTTGAAAGCATAAATTATAGAGTCAATACCTCAAACTCACTGCAGGTCAAGTATCTTGTTCCTAGATCGGCTGCATTTTGAGAGGTCTCCTCTATAATTCTTCCACCACATGGACATTTTGTCGGAATGCCATAGTGACAATCATCGACGTAGTAAAACTTGTCGATTAGCCACTTGTTCTTCTTCTCGTCACTATAACTCAGGTCCATGATCAAGAGCTTGAGAAGAGAGATAAGAAATCGGGATTGAGAAAGAGGTGAGGATAAAATGAGATAAGATCGTGATTGAGAGAGAGGTGGAGAGGAAAAAATGAGATTGGGAAGTGAAAAAGAGAGTAAGGAAGAAAACAAATTGGCCGCCAAAAAATTAGGAATTTTGTGTATTGGCGCGAAAACATTTACCTACATGTGTGCCAAAGTAACTCGTAGTTGTACAGAACATAGTAGTTGTACAAAAGTTACAAATAGTTATACTTTGGGTGCTTTCCAATTTATTTAGTATTACCCACTCTTAAATTGTGTTTTTTTTTAGTTTTACAGGTTATATAAATCGATTAGCATATAATTCTGATTGATTTATGTATTTATATGATTAAAATCAAGATTTATTTAACTTTGTCATTGTAAGTTGGTTATTATTTACCAAATGATCTTACAAGTATAAGGAGTATTGTGTAGGAGTAAAGCTTGTCGACTATTTACAATATGATATAATTTCACAATGCCCTATATAATACACATTATGAAGTTAATACACAGTAAGTGGAGTGTTGAGTAATTTTGGTTTTGGTTTTGTAAAAATCAAAATTATTTTTTCTATTATCAACTCTAATCCGTAATACCAGTAATACAAGTATTATCAGTTTGACGTAGTTTT